TAACAATATTGTGGCTGTATCCTTTGCTATGTACTCGTAGGGTGAATCACAGCCCTTCTGTGCCTCAGTCTTCCAGTGCATATAATGGTGAGAATAAATCCTGTGCTGATTCATGAAGTTAATGAAAAATTTAAATTTGCTGATTTTGGGGCAGGAATATGAAGTGTTGCAAATTTGTTGCTGTTAATATGAAATTAAAACCTACGGAGTCATTTTGATGCCAACAATTTGAATGTAAACAGTGCACAACAGTTTTATTCTGTATTTCTGAATGTATATGGCTGTATGGCACAGTATGGTGCTACGTGGAATAAGATAATTTAAATACAGGAAAGGAATAGTCTGTTGGCATAAGGACCAGCTTGAGTTAAAATAACTATCTACCAGCAGTTAATGCCACTACGTTTCTTGCAACTTGCTTTCTGTCCTGACTCTGACGTTTGAGTGAAAATGCTGTATACTCTTCTCGTTATTCTAAAATTTTATTCTTGAGATACCTCCACAGTGCAAGGCTGAGAGGGCCAGGGAGCCCAGTGAAGATCCAGCTGTCTGCTCTGATTAATAGTTAGCTCACTTCCTGGTTCTTTTTTGTTTCCCAGAAGGTCTCCCCAAGGAAATAGCTACGTTTTGTTTTGGGAATAGTCCATTCTGGAGGCACTATGCACCATTTTTTGGCTTTCACCATCCTTCAATGCTCTCCCAGCATGGGCATTTGGATCTTTGAATGTGCACAACACACAGCTCTCACTTCCGTGAGCTGAAAATGCGATATTGCTGGGTTACAACGTGGTCTCCAGGTTTAGATACTTTGAACTGAAGTGTGCTCAATGCTAATAATGTGTTGGATGTGCAGGGCCAGATAATGAGACCCAAAGCACTGTGAGGTGTGGATGTGACCAGTTTGCAGTAAGGGGAAGTATTTCTAAGCTGTGTGGATGTGAGCCAGAAGGTACCGTTCGTCTTGCATTTAGAAGTGCGGACCTTGGTCCCTGTGAGTGCTTTTGACCCGCAGGTGGGTTGGCTCTGCTCTGCCATTCCAGAACAGTTGTCTTTCTTCTGTGTAGCCAGACCTCTGCTTTGGCTCATTTTTCTTTTCTCTTATTTTTCTCAACTAGTTTTCTTTCCTTACTCTTAGTTTTCTTACTCTTTATACCTCCCCTCCCCTCCTTCACCGTAATCCTCTCATCCTTCCTCTTTCCTCTAACGCAGCTGCCCAGTACAGTCTTGATGCTGTGCCGGATCCCCTGGATGGAGGCTGAGACGCAGGAACACAGAGTAGAAGCACATCTTGTGCCTGCCACCCAAGTCAACATGTATGCGTGCGCGTGTGTCTGTGGTCTGTATTCTCTTTTCTAGCTCTGCTAGAAGCCATTATTAACGCAGAGCAGAAAAGCACATGGTTTTCAAGGAGAAATCAGCTATTTAAAAACAGCAGAAGCATTTTGAACTTGGGAGTAAGACGGGGTCGATTAATGCCATTTTTCCTATTTCCCTTACTACTGCCATTCCCTCCCAACTATAACAACTTCTTTTAAAAATTATTAATAGAAGCTTTCTGATTAATCCAAGCTCCCTTTTCTAGGGCAGAAAGGGTTTGCTGAGGAGTGCTTAGCACTTGTATCAGTCTTGCACTTAAAAACCTCCAACAGGCTTATCCTCCCTTTCTGTTTTTTAATGTAAGTGCTCTGAAAAGGACAGAATTATGCAATAGGAAATGGCAGTACTTTTCTTACATCAGGTTCACTGCACTCTCGCTTTCATGTTCATTGATCGTAATGTGAGTATGTTACTCAGTAATTTGCTTTTCTGAGCAGCCATGAAAATTGAACTCCTGAGCATTTCATGGCCTTGAGGTTAGTAGCTTCTTGGGAGCAGAGCAAAGCAGAGTGTTAAACTGTATAGCAGATTTTATTTGTCGAGTTTTATTTTCGCCATGACAGAAAACTAGCAGAACGCTTTTCCCATGGGTGTTTTCTTTTGGTCTGGCTAAAATACATTACTGGTGAAAGAAAAAC